ACAAGAGGGACATAGTATCAGGGGGTAGCCGGGTTAGTCTGTATCTACAAAAACAACAAGGAGTCTGGTGGCACCTTAAAGACTAACAGATTTATTTGGGCATAAGCTTTCGTGAGTAAAAACCTCACTTCTTCGGATGCATCCGAAGAAGTGAGGTTTTTACTCACGAAAGCTTATGCCCAAGAGGGACATAGGCACTTAATTGCAACTTTAGGTGCCTAAGACCAAGACTTAGTAGGTGGCAGCGGAGTAGTGGTTTTATGAATGCCTGTTACAGGCTCTTAAGTTTCCACTGATAAAGTCTCCATGGTGCCTATGTTTCTGTTGTGTGGCACGGCTGCCTACATCCCAACATCACTGAGCAGCTCAGCACCTATCTTCTGCCAAAGTCCAACAGGATGCACAAACTAGACATTCCCCTGTATGTCTCACCTATGAGACCTGGTCCATTAGGTGTGCACGGAGCTGATGAAAGCAGGGACTGGAACCTGGATTGCTCAGGTGACTGTACTAACCACTAGGCTATAGAGGCAGTTGCTTTTCCTCTTGCCCAATGAACATTTAAATATTTCATAGGATGTGGAACAGCTTTAATGGGAGATATTGAAAGAGACCCACCCTGAATACCCCATAGCCTCCTGGCTAGAGCATTAACCTGGGAGGTGGGAGACCTGAATTCAAGTCTCTGCTCCACATCAGGCCAGGGGGGAGGATTTGAATGTGAGGGAGAGTGATGGTTTGCAGGGACCCAACACTGAGATTCGCCTTGTTACCCTCTGCTACCAATGTGCGGTAATCTTGCCTGTGCTTAGCTGCTGTTAGCTTCCTAACACTGGCAGCCTCCTAGCCAATCAAGCACCCTCCTCTGAGCTATGCTCGCCCTTACTTTGTCTTGCAGATTAACAATAGTTATGCCCTAGTCTCCAAGTCCCTTTGAAGTGTTTCTCTGTGATATCCAGCCCCTATGTGATGGGGGCCACTCATGAGCACCTCCTATTGGTTGGGTGCAAACCTGCACACACTCTCTATACTCACGGTGCCCCCCCCCATTGGCTGTTGCCCTCATCAGGTGGGGTCTTCAGTGGCTCAGCCCTCCATCTAAGTCACACATAGTCTAAACAGATGAAACCCTTCCAGGGTAACAAAGGCCTGCCTCTGGGCTCAGTTGTCAGCCCCTTCTGGGCTAGCTTTAAGTCTGACCCTGCCCTGTTATAATATGGTGCCTCCAGGATTTTTTTCCTGGAGACTCTTTGTTACCACCCAGAAGGGGAATGAAGTTAAGAAGTGACCTAGCTAGAGAGCTGGGAAACCACAAAATGCAAAGTTCAGCAAATGATTGATCCTCTTCAGGGTCTTCAGCCCTGTTCCTGTTTAAACATCCAGCCCCTTTTTGTGGCTTCCAAACTAAACTTGTTCCCTTCCTGGGGCTTTAGGCCACTTCCCCAGTAGTTGGTCAGGGGAACCTGGGCCTGCCCACTACTCTGTCTCCCAACCCAGGGGTCCTACAAATAGCAGCCACATTGCTGCTTTTTTTAATAGCTTCTCTTGCTACATTCCCTAGGTTACTTTTCACTCTGTCCCATTACCTTAGGGACACAATCTTTGGGTTCTTTGTCTGTTCCCTGCTAGAGTAGGGTCTCCCAGGCTTCCTTGTCTGAAGAGTTCCTCTGTCTTATCCCTTCTGGTGCCAGCCAGGAACTGACCTACTCAGGTCTAGCAGCGTCTTTTAACTGAGCCTGGTGTGCTCTGATTTGCTGCTTCCCTGTAGCCTTTCTAGGCAGGCCTGGAGGACCCAGTTTTAATGCTTCTTTTCTGGGGCCTTAAAGGGCCCAAAACACCCCATCACACCCTGTGACTAGCTACTCACAGAAATACCAGGTCTGCTGGCCTCAAATAAATTTTACACACACCAGTTTGTAAGAGTGAGCTGTGGTTCTGCACTTTGTTCAACATCACAGCACTTAGATATATTTATAGTGAAAACAATAATAAATTTATCAGATATCAAGATTCAAGTGAAAGTGAGTTAGGATATTGGAAACAAAAGGTTACATATAAAACAAAACCAGAACCCACTTTCTAGAGATTACACTTAACTAACAGGTTAATCTCCTGTCTAAAGAAGTTTATCTCACCCAGCATCTTTTGCACCTTTTCAACCAAGGTTGGCAAAGATGCCATTTTCATGAATGTAAAGTCATTACCCATTAACTTTTAGGTGTACAGTGATGGGGGCGTTCTTTGCCTTCTACTTATAGTCCCAAAGTTTGGTGTCTGTACTCAGAGACAGGATAACCACTCATGGCTTATTTTTTCTGTGTGCTGCTTCCCTGTTGACTTTACATCTTTTTGTTGACTTTGTATGTAAATACGCATCCACTGTGTTAGCTTATAATGCTTGATTTACATCTCAACAGAGAGATTGGTGAATAAACATCTATTGTCTGACAAAAAAGCTGTTTTTTCATCTCTGCTGGTGACTCATACCTTGATACAGACTCTAAGAGCATATTTTCAATGTATGTATGTAATTCCTTATGTACTTCTGTACATACATTTCACAATGATAGTAATGACGAGTGTGACCTCAGTTTTCATTTAAATCCTCACATGATACACTTTGGTGAACAAGAATGTATATACCAGATTTAGGACTGTCCTGTAATCCCTTTGCCAGTTGGCATTAAGAGATTCTTGTGTCACAGGGAGTGTTCCAACCCCTAGGCCACATGGTAGAAGAAGGGCACCACCTCCGCTTCTTCCATTTTTCTTGAGAAAGGGCTGACCTGGCTTAAGTCCCTGACTCTAGGAGAAGTGTCATGTCTGTGAAGCCCAAGCTGAGATAGGTTCCTAACTCCCTTTAAGGGGTAGGGATGAGGCTATGCACCCTCCTCAGCATTTCCTCCTGGCTAACTTCAACATCTCAAATCCCCACTCAGTGTGCTGGCTTCTGTGAATCCCTTTTTTAATCACCTAACGCTCACCCTTTACTATATAGGGACCATGGGCACCTAACTCATGGTTGTGTATTCCCCTAATCAACAGGGTCCTTAAAAGTTAGGCACTGGACCCTTAGCATTGCAACACCTAAGCCCTTCTGAATCTAGCTCTTTATTTCCCTACATTTTAAAAGTAAATTTGCTTTGTAAGTCTTCATTAGAGGTAAAGCAGCATGTACCTTAAATGATCCAAAAGGAGCATTTCCTATTACTATTTGAAACTTCATTGCTGGTATCCATTTACAACTGTTTCTAATATTGCAAGTAGAATGCTATGCTAACCAGATAGAAAAGACTGATGTGAAAACTAAAAGGAAGAGCCATGGATATTTAGATTATTCTAAAGGGTACATTTTCAAATGGGTATGGAGAAACTAACTGCCCAACTCCCTCTGACATGCATTATAGTTGCACAGCTATGTTCCTAAGCACTGCTATGAAAATTAGCTGAAGGTAGATAACCTGCTCTTGGTTAGTTAAAACATTTGTCACCAAACCAAACCAAACCAACATTCAAGGAGAACTTATTATTGGCTTTGGAATACGCTAAAAACACAGGTAATAAAATCAAGAGCTCCGACCATTGACTAAAAGACATCTTCTCAGGAGCCTGAAGAGACAACTGTGAAAGCAGGATGGTTTTTTTGTGTTGGTGGGGTTGATAGCTGTGAAGAGGCTACCAGGAAGTCATTATAATTAAGCCTGCCTCTCTCTCCACCCTTATAAGGATGGTTTCTTTCTGCTGCAGCACTAATTTGGTATTGCTTTTAGGAACTCTCATATTATCCCTTGACAAACCATCTTCACACCCAGATAGGCTGGTACTTTTGGCAATAACAGTATGGACACTTTAGGTAGTCATTAGATCATATCATAAGACTTTTGAAAAATGTTGGGTTGTTTTTATTCACCTTCAGATCTTTGAGCTTTTAGGGTTTGTATTTTCTGTTCAGCCATGAGGGCGCAAAACTTTTTTAAAATATTGAAGCTGGCATTTGTGTGTGATCACATCACTTCAGACACTGTGGGTTTAAGATAGATATCTAATATCGTAAGACTCATGATAAAATTATAAATTGGCAACATTGCCATACTTACATCCCAGCCTCAGCATGAGGCATTGTTATACATTTATATATTGGGGGAAATGAAAGGAAATTATCGTAATTTAAGAATTACTCCAAAGCAAGGAATGGAAGGAATTTTTTGTTGTCCCATTTCTTTTTAAATATTTCAGTCTACCTATATCAGTTGCTGCATAGTGCGAAACACTGATTAGTACATTGTGTTGTAACAGTTATTCAACATTTTTTGCAATCTCACCTGTATCAAGGGTTTCTAAGAATAAAGCAGTTAGATTAGTCTCACTCTATAATTTGAGTGCTAATTAAATAAAGCTAATCTGCCTTTATGCTCATAGGAACCCCACCATGAGGATTTCCCTGAAGAGTGGCAAAACAAAATGGGCCAATTCCAGAGGCTGCTTATGATTCGCTGCCTGCGGCCTGACAAAGTAAGTGTGGAAGTGCAAAGACTTGCTGTTGGACAGTATCACAGGTTTCACCTACTGCCCTTCCCTTAGAAATTGTCTAGATTTTCCCCCATTTTACTCTCTGTCGCTCTCCATTAATTGTCTTCTTCTGTAATCTGAGGGAAGTGGCTCTTAAAACCAAAGAATTGCCAGATACTTATGCATTTCAAAGATATTCAAGCATTCACTGATTACCTTAAAAGAAACAGATCATGTTTGTAGTTTGACAGAATGTAATCTGCTTCTTTGGAAGTAGAAGTTTCCATTTATCAGGAAAGGAAAGGAAGTCTTTCCATTTTGAAAGTGGAAAGCAAGCCACTTGTTTGTCAAATTCCTCTGCAAGTTCAAATTGTAAATCTGAGTTGAACATGCACAAAGCTTGGGTATACCATGGTCCGGTGCACACTTGTATCAGCTGTAAATCTTTATTTAAAAAAACAAATTTTGACCATCTAAAAACAGTACAGAAGTATTCTGCTTAACAAGTCAATGTACATTTTATTTTATAAACACTAGTTTATTAGGAGATTTATTGGTCCACATCTGCCATACTGATCAAATATACCTCAAAAGATAAGAGTCAATATGAATTCCTATGTACTTTGTAAGTGTATACAGAAATTAGTACTTTATTAGTCAGACAACTGAATCTGATATCTATTCCAATAAGATCAACAATGTTTAGGACAGCCATGTGAAATTTAGACAAAGAAATGCACACCTTCCTGAAAGTCTGTGGATATCTCATCTTTTTTTGCCCAGTGGGCTGCATTTGGGGGTCCTGGTGGCTTCCTGAACTTTGGGTAGTAGAATCAGCATGTTGAGGGAGATTCGGATACTGGCATCTTTGGCTCTGGAATGTACTGATGTTTGCTGACAAAGTGATCAATGAGACGTTTTCTGGTTGCATCAACTTCTTCTTCAAAGGACTTCATTGTGCTTCTGCCGGTTTTGCACTTAAAGTAAATCCAGAGTTTTGAAGTGTTAGACCTAGACACTCGACACTCAAAAGCTACCCAGAAAGTGGGATATAGAACTTTTGTCAGTGATTGTTACCTTAATGGGGAACTAGCACAGCCTCTAATTAAGTCTCCCGTTTTTATTAACTAAAGCAGTCCAGTTCCTGGGGCCAGCTATCACTTTATACACATCAACAGCATGACCGTTACCACTCAGGTAACCCCAGGAGAAGGAAGGCTTCTCTAAGGTGTGATATTAATGCCATTTTCCTTTGAATTCCAAAGAGATGATCTATCAGTGAACAGGATAACTGCAGAACTAGTGATGGGGGGGCTCCAATTTGTCTTCTGCAATTGTATGGGAAAGCTGCTGGCACAACAACACTGAAGCAGGGGGAAGATACAGTGCTTGACAAGAGTTATGCCTATGTTTAGCAGGTCCTCTTTGAAGCCCTGTCAGTTCAAGATGACACAGAGTATGGTTAATACTCAGTGGTTCTTCCAAGAGCTGTTTTTAATATTATACACAGAAGGGATAGTACTCTTTTTTCCAACGTAAGAGTGTTGGATTAAACATGTCCAGGGGAGTAAAGTTTTGTAAGGAGTTAGGCATAGAGGGCCATATTTTTAAAAAGCATTTAGATACTTAAAAATACAGATAGGCACTTAGGAAAAAATCCCATTATCTGCATCTTTAAGTGCCCAAACACTTTTTAAAAATCTAGTCTTGAGTTCCTAGACACTGCAGCCATGGCAGGTTCCTTCAGCGAGAGATTTCTACCTTCTCTCCTATATGGAAACCACTCCAAGGGGGCAGATTTTTATTCAGACAGCATCCTCTGTTTAAGCCAAAGCCATTAAACAATATTTGCATGAGCACTTACAAGAAAAGTCCTCAACCGGTCCATCTCCAGCATGTAGTATTCCTCCATTGTCAGATCATCAAAGTTCTTAGTAAGGGATAAAAACCCACAGTTGCTAGGACGTTTGGAGTGCTCTACCCTGCAGCACAAACACAAGAGTTTCATTTTGGGAATAGTTAGTCTTCCACAGCATTTCAGAGGAGATGGAAGAGAGTGATACAGTTCCACAATTTTCTAATATGAAAGATGTTCTATAACTTTCACAGGCTTGTTTTATGTTCTCTTTTGCCCCTAAATAGCTGCATAGATCAAACTTTTACTGATCAAGTGTCAAGAGGAGAGTTGTGAAATTCCTCTTTTCCTCCAATACCAGATGGAAGAGGTGAAGTAAATTCTTTAAGATACATGTGGCAGAAACCCACAAGTTAGTGCATCCCCCCACCCCCAGCTATGTTTATTCCCACCACGCCAGAATATTCAACGAGAGGGAAAGCAAGCATCTTTTATGGTCTGTGTGAATATTTCAGAATAGCTGACAAACTTAACCCAAGAGCTGGTACCTAGGCCTCAAAATTAAGCAGCCTGAAGCACTTCTTTTCATTTCTTCCATTCCCCCTCCATACCCCACCCCCGCACATTCGTTTTTAGACCACAGAGAATTTACAGACAAACCAGTTTTCATGAGTTGAGGAGGTGTACACTCCAGTGGCCCTAGTTAGAATATGGGCCATATAAAAACCAGGACCTCTTTATTCAGCTCTGCTACCTGTGCTTATTCAGAATCAGCTGCTTATTTGAGTGACAGGAGTTTATTTGTGTAAGCACTGCAGAGGCAATACAGCTAACGGTAAGAGCTAAGGTTTTTTAGCTAATAATAGTTATATTTCAGTTGTAAGTCAGAAAGAATACAGCTAGAGTTTATGTTGAGTTTGCAGTGCTGACTGACCTTTTTCAAATTGTAAAATGGGGAAGACTTTTATATTGAAACATCGAGAGGCAAAGAACCCTCAATACCAGTATTTGTTACTTTTCAGGATATAACTACACTGAATACAAAAAAACAAATGTTTTCCATAGTAATGGAAAATTGAAGTCTGCTGGTCAAGTTTACATGAGTGCTTTGGTAACTAAACCAGAACACACAGAGAACTCAAAGGAGGGGAAATAATGCCCAAACTAGTACATTAGGGGAGTAATGTGGAGGACTATTTCAAGAAATTTGAAAAGTTTCACAGCATAAAGAGTGAGGAAGAATACAGGCAGACTACTGCTTACTGTGGATCATCATTTGGCTCCCAGCCCTCCAGCTCTATCAGGCAGAAGAAACACTTTGCCACATCAGGTTCATTTGCACTTGGACAGTGGATAAAGCCAGCCCTGGCCATCTGCAGGGGAGAATTAGTTATGGTAGTATTTAGGGGCCCAATTTTTTGGGCCCTAGTGTAATATACACTGTGCAAATATATAATAAGAGACAACAGTCCCTGCCCCAGAGAGTTTACAGTCTAAAGTCTCAATCCTGCAAGGCTACTCTTCACAAACATTGGGGTCTTCCAGCAAGGAGTAGCTGGTTTGATAGGAACCTAAGTTTAAAACTGATAGGATGTAACAGACCAGCTGTAGGATGAGAAGAGAGGCTAAAGGCAACAAACATGTTTTTGCATGGAGGAGCTGTTTGCAGGTACCCATTTTTGAGATTGACAGCGGATAATGACTAGGCCAGGGATCGGCAACGTTCGGCACGCGGCTCTCCCATTGGCCCGGGACGGCGAACCGTGGCCAGTGGGGGCCGCGATCAGCCGAACCTGCCGCATCAGCAGGTAAATAAAACTGGCCCGGCCCGCCAGGGTGCTTACCCTGGAGAGCTGCGTGCCGAACGTTGCTGATCCCTGGACTAGGCAATTGGCAGTATTCCATAGGCATTACAGTAAGAGCTAGTTATTCACACTGTATTGCCCAGGAACTAATCAAGGGCTAAACCCTGTAATTTTAGCCTGAACAGTAATACGAGAAGTAATAGTTTATCCAGAAATAAGCAAGACAGTTTGGCGTTGTATTAATGCATGAGTCCAAGAACAACATTTGACTGCTATATATGCAAGGTTTTCTCTTAGAGAAAAAAAATAAGGAAAACTGTCATCTCAAATATTTCAGGAATATTGGACTAGTCAGTGGTGAGGTCATAGTTTGTTGAACTAAACGGTCATTTGCAAATATAATTATGTCCAGGCAACCCCACAAATAAAAGGAGAGAATCACACAGACATGAAGTTAGAACTCTGTAGTTCTCATTATTAGTGAGCTTCCTAGTATAGAAAGTTTAGCAAGCTAGTTTCCAAAGTAATAGGTTATATCCCACTATCAGGGTTTAGGTTAGTTATATTCCACCAGTAGGTGCATTAGAGACATGGCTAAATCAATTCTAAAAAGAGTTAAAAACGACAATTACTCATCTTTAGAAGTCGTCCTGCATGTGTTGTAGTTTCAACTTCCTTCACACCTGCTCAGATAACTCCAAGTATGCTTCATCTGAGGTGTAACCCTCAATATATACATGACACCCAAGCATGACTCGTAAGTGTCAGTTTCAAAGCATTATGGGCCATAATATTATTGTAGCATTTGAATTGTACTTTGTATGTTCAAAGCACTGAGTGGACATTAATTTTAAATGATTCACTTTTATAAGTACTAGAGGCCCAATAATGAATTGGCTGATATTTATCCTTCCTGCTACATAACAAGCACTAGATCTGTGTGGATTGATCCCACACCCAATTAATGTTTTCCTCCAGGGAAGCGGAAGGAGGGGGACATTTTTCAGGATCAGAAGACCCAAATTCAAAGAACCATTTTAATTGGGGAAGAATCAAAATGTTTAGTTTCAAATTTGAAACTGCATTTTGATTTTAAATTTGGCCAATTCAACACACACAGCTAACAACTACAAACAACCACCTGAAATGGTTGAATTGGGAGAAAAATACAATTCAAAAATTTCATTTTACATCAGCTCAAGTGTTATGGGTTGTTTGAAGTGAGTGTTTTAGATTTGATTGAAAGATTTTTAAAAAGTTGTTTTAGTATGAGTTTTAAATAGTTTTTCACATTTTTCTGTTTGGCCCTCCTACCCAAAAATTCCACTATTTACCTAGCTCTAGTGGGCACTTTCACAGTTTTGACTAGCTTGAGAACTGAGGAA